TTTTTTTTTTTTTTTTGTTGTTGTTGTTGTTGTTGTTGTTGTTGTTGTTGTTGTTGTTGTTGTTGTTGTTGTTGTTGTTGTTGTTGTTGTTGTTGAGAAAACTGCCCGTTTGGGAGATAGGGGGCTATAACAAACAAATGTAGTTTTCAAAGTGTTGAAAATGCGCTTGTACATGAAAAATGTACTTCCAATTGGTTTAGTAAAACACGTTAGGCTGCTGCAAAAGAGAGCGAGTACATCTGGAGGTTGGAGCAAAATGGGTTCCTTCGCCTTGCAGCTGAACAAGCACGGCAACAAGAGCAGACTGACTGTTCATGAGAGCTACAAAAAGATGCAGCCACTGTCACAGAACCAGCGCGAAATTTGGCACCAGGCTATAATTGTAGTAGTTGTATATATAAAAAAATGCAAGGTCTCAAGACTCTTGAAAAAAACAAGTAAAAGTCAACGTCTCAATAGTAGTAGTTGTGTATATCCAAAAATGCAAGGTCACAGTTTCTTTAAAAAAACTTAAAAAAAGTATAAAAGTCGTCGACGACGTCTCAATAGCTCGAACAAGTAAACAGGAGGTGGTCGCTCAACCGCTTGCAAAAGTGCGCATCAAGCGGGTGTTCGGCACACCATCCGATATTCTGCATGCCTACTACTAGCTAACCAAGTTTTGCTAGTGCAACTCTACTCCACTAGATAAGGAGGCAGTCAAACTCAAAAAAGGCATTGACTTGCAGTCGAAGACGAGTTGACATCCAACTCAAAAGACGCTACGTTCCTGGAGTCGACAGTTCAGTGTTCGTTGGCCAGGCCCAGATGTCTAGCTAGACAGCCTGCCTCTTTGCTGTCTTCAGTGAAACTGGAGCGGTAAAAAAATCCGCACGTTCTTCCTAGGTACCCAAATATCGCGTGGTAAAAGCAGAACTTTTTTCCTCAGTAGAATTTCACAAAAATCAGGGACACTTGTAGAATTTCACAAACAAACGTCAGGGACACTTCCTAGAAATTCACAAAAAATAAGGGATTCTTAGCAACAGCATGAATGAACAACGGGTCAGCCTGTTGCTGTCTTCAGTGAAAGAAGTCGTACTAACCTTGGTTAAAGACAAGTTCGCATCCAACTCAGAAGCGGAGGCGGAGTTCCCGGCACCAGCGTAATGTTTGTGGGCCAGGCCCAAATATGTGAAAACACTGAAAAGGCACCTCAGTGAAAGAACTGAGGGCAGTGAGGGGAAAATATTGCAGGGACCACGCACTTATGTCCTTAGTCACCACAAGCTACGGTCCTCAAGCCCTGTCCCGAAGTCCCTGGGCCCAAAAGGGTCCCAAGGGCCCAAGGGGTCCCACATAAGTCTGCGAGCTCAGCTCCTCAAGAGCCATGTACTATATCTATGACATTTTGGTTCCCTGCTATGCCATGTGCAAAGAATTATGCACCCGGCATTTATTACTTGGATATTGGGGCAGAGGAAATGAAAAAAAAAAAAAAAGAAAGAAGAAAAAGAGGGTTACTATTGGGACACGGTGATTGAGGGAAAAAGAATATGGAGTGTTCCAATCAAAACTTACGTCGTAGGTGTATTAGGCAAGGCACCTTTTTTCAGCGCCTTCAGCCCTGTGATGAAGAAAACGATAAAAACTCACGTAGGTGTTTTAAGGCACCTTCAGCGCCTTCAGCGCCTTCAGCGCCTTCAGCCCCATGACAAAGAAGTAGGGGCTACTCTATGACGAAGTACGGGCAAGCTGAATTTGCCTAGGGTCCCTGGGCCCAAAAGGGTCCCAGGAGGGGCCCAGGGGACCAGAGGGGAGGGAGAAACTGCAGAGGCATACATTCATCCCCCCACAGAACGTTATGTTCCCGTTCCCTCCTCATGTAAGACAAAACAGTTGAATTGCCTCGCTGCGCATTGGCCGCCCGAGTCCGGTTGCTCCTACGAGCAGGTACGCGCAAGCTCTTTTTGGCACGCAAGTACTGTGAAAATTCCGTGCTCATGCATCCATCCTTCCATATCATGCACCCATATCCTTCCATATCATGCATCCATCCTTCCATACAACCACCTAGCGGCCGGCTACCTGCACAGGATATGCACATATGATAGTCCAACCATCCACAATCAACCGTCACGATATACACCACACGAATGAGAATGCACACAATCAAATGCACATGCAATCACCCACAGTACTCGCATGCATTCAACAAGATATATAACTTCACCACCGACTTAAAGAAAAATGGTGAGTGAATCAAGGCCACATCTTATGAAAGGGTGGCTGGGAGGATGCACAACTCAGAGTAATATGTAGGAGATGCGATCGCCCATACGATAGCAAACATCAACAGGGAGTTATGTGATGAACTGACAGCGGAGTCCCAACAATCATGTCCGTCAACACCCTACATCTCCATTAAGGATTTCTTGGCCGACAATAGGGTGTATTACCTGTAGCTTCAGGTGGAATCCATAGTCCTCACAGGAATCATGAGGAATGCCCAAAGCATGGTTTTGCAATGTTCTTTCGTCAGGGGGGGGGGGGGGGGGGGAAGGAAAGCCTACTGCCCAAAAAAWAGCGGCCCTGCACATCGAAACCCTCGTTATACATGGTCGAAATGAAACGAGGGTTTCGATGGAGCAGACACATCCTACTTTTGTACGCCTTCACCATGGCAAGGCATGGTCAAACATGGGGTCAAACATGGGGTCAAACATGGGGTCAAACATTCCACGATTCAATTTCTTTTGAATGAATGCCCTGATACCAACCACTCACCAACTACCTTCTTTCCCCGAACACAACGTGCATTCATTATAGCTGTATTTGGGGTATCTTTCAGTCTAAATACACACGGCTACAATGACCGTACATTGTATATCCAGGGGAAAAGGTACAACCAAACAGCAGAACGAGGGGCAGAATAATAAGGAATCCTTCTTTTCTTTTTGAGGAATGTCCCTTCGGGATAGGTTGGAGCGGTACTCCACCCATATCCTACCTCGGGTCCCCGGGAGTGTCACAAGAGAGAGGTAAACACTGACAGCAGAGTGTGAGCAGAAATAAGAGTGTGACAGCAAAATGGGAAAGGAAAAAAGACGGACAGTCCGACAAAAGACTAAGAGGAAAGACTAGATGAAAGTTGACGAAAGTGACGCAACATCTACAGTCTGGCCCCAACAGGCTGCTATATTCCAAATAGCACATAAATTGCGGAGCACACCCTCCCCCCCCCCCCAAAAAAAAAAAAAAAAAAAAACCCCCCCCCCCCCCCCCCCCCCCCMAAAAAAAAAAAAAAAAAAACCCCCCCCCCCCCCCCCCCCTCCCTTCTCCGTACTCTATCAACAACCCCATCCATTCATCCATTCTCGTGAGACATGCATAAACAACATTTTCTGCCCTGTGAAAAAAATGGAGCTTAGCAGTAAACTTTCTCCAGCTCCGAAATTTCTCCAGCTCCGACACAAAATACGTTATTGTGTTCTGTTCAATTGATTTTCCAAACTTCAAATCCAAATTTGAATCCAGCTTCAAAAAAGACAAAAACGTAAACTTGCGAAGCAGACAGCCAATTGTGATGTTCAGTCAAAATGTTCACAAGACCAACGCTCCCGACGTCACGAATGTGACAGGGAGTGACAAGAATGAAGGAACGTACGTGATCAGAAACTTACACATAGAGAGAGAGAGGACATCAGAAAAGTAAAATTTCTCATCGAAGCTGTATCCTGTAGAAACTCGAGAGCGATACTGTGACGGGGGAAGCGTTTGTCCCAATGAAAAGAGGTCGCATTCCCCTCCGCCGGAGAAGCTCCAACCCCAAAAGGGGGCAAAACCTTCTGCAAAAACTGTCATTCCACGAGTGAGAAAACTTCCCGGCCGTAATCCCAAGTCCAGAGAATGAGACCGAACACACCAAAACCAGGATGCTCCTGTGTTGCTACCTTTATGCCCCGGACCGGGTATAATGACGCGCTAACTTTTCCCAGAGAGGTGCAAGCCAACAGTTTTGCCCACAAACCCCTTTCTACATGGGGAGACGGATATAAACCCTCTCAAATGCTGTTGAGCTATAAGTCGCCTCGGCAAATCCACCTGATATACTGTATAGTAAAGCTGCTAATGACTCGATTACGGGTCAGTTGGGCTCCTGGCCGACTACCAGGCGTCTGAAAATCTACCGCTACACAGCAAATGGTGGCTCTCTATACACAGTATACATGTCTTTGTCCATCCAGTTGCGATCCCGGCTGCTTCCATATTGCCGCAATGAATCTGAGGCTTCTTCCTCACGATTCAGTTATCAACGGGGACATGATTTCGCCATAACTGCTCTCCTTGCTTCGGAGAGAATAAGCCCACCTTCTCTATCCTCTTTCTTTCCTTGCAACCTCTCTGGGACCTCTCTGGGACCTCTCTGGGACCTCTTGTGGTGAAAAAAAGAATCCCTGCTTCAGCCTCTTCAATCTGAAGTTAACTGCAAAAGTGCATTTCGAAGTTCGAACCATAATCACCACTTTACCTTGCCCTCGCTTGAGAGTTGCGTAACAGCGACTAAAGCTGCTCCCACGCGCCCACACATTTCGTTCTGTGCTCTCATGGCCCTGTGTATAACTCACAGATATAGAGCTGCCGAGCTTGGTCTTACATTCCGATTACTTCTCCAGCATATTACTTCATCCCAATGATTCACACTACCTCACTTTTGCCCCAACCAGCAGCCCAGGATTCACCCTTCGTGAAATGATTAACCTACGACAGGTACAACAGATACTACAGAATGAATGTCAATTGAGATGACTCCCCCAGACCAGCTCCAAGGAAGCCTCGTAGGCGCCGACTGGATCGGAGAACACCCTGACACATTCCATTAAATAACTTGTGTTTATTATTATTGCCACAAGACCTCGCACAGCTCAGGCCATAACCCGGCATCTGGTCTTGTGCCCTAGGATTTGAGCGCCTAAACCAATTCCGATAACTCTGCTGCTTAATTTGTACCATCATCTCCCAGGTATGTTCTACCAGCAGCCTTTTGATGCATTATTTTTAATCCTCAACTAGTTTCTGGCATTTGCCACACATTTGAGTACACTCACTCATAATCTAACCTCCTCATTTGATTACACTCACTCATAATCTTAACCTCCTCATTCGAGTACACTCACTCGTAATCTTAACCTCCTCATTTGAGTACACTCACTCATAATCTAACCTCCTCAGTCCCAGCCCATACCAATCAATTGGTTACAACCCGGTCCCGGCAGCCTAGAGCCATCTCAAAGATCATCCAGCTCCAGTGCGCTTCCGTAGTGGATGACCGACCACTCTCACCTGCTTGCTTCCTGTTCTCAGCCATTCCTTTCAGCGACCGCAGCACAATCCTTCTGAGATTGGTACATCCGACCACCAGCACGTGAACGAGAAGAGACCGCTACAAATCCCTTCCCCCCTTTCAAGGGGAGAAGGTTTGGATAAGCGCAATGAAGAGACCACATTTTGGGACCCGACGGGAACCATGCACATCAAGTCGGCCATTTTGTAAGACCTGCCAGTCCCATCCAGAAAGGAAAACTGTGCACTGAGCACCTTACCAAGGTCCCAAAACTCACGCCTGGATCTCATCCTTTTCAGACTCCAAACACCCGTATCGAGAGATCGGGACAACGAGTATTGACGACATGGTCAGGTGGAGACCTACCCTATCCACTCTGTCAGTGGTATCCCCCGTCCCCTGGGCACACTTGAGCCCTTGAAAAGACACAGTGACTCAAAGAACTTCCTGTTAGTGATCATCAGTCCCAGATCTCCCAGCCCCAAAAACGGTAATAGGTTCAAATAAGGGCGGGCTTACGGTGGATACCTCGGTACTAGAGAGACGAAGAAGGGCGTAGTCAACAAGAAATGCTTCGGGGAGTCAAACAGGCATAGATCTGGATATTCCCGAATAGGATAACCCCTTGTACTGCCGCTGAGTCCATCTGCGGATAAGAGAGAGCCTCGTGAGCTGAGGCACAGCCAACACACACACCAACAGGCAACTGGCATTGCGACTCACAGCCTACTCGCAGCCCCAGTTTGCATCTCCCCTCCGCCTGAAAAGACTCCCCTGGGAGCCTATTCGCAAACAGATTACACAGTGTCACATCATCAGCATCCGCAAACCCACCGAGACCTCACCTCTCTCCTCACGCCCTAACCATTTGGGTAGCATACGCACACCGACCCACCTGTAAGACATCAGGTCTCCAGGGTATGTACTTGTGGCGCAACAGCTGCAGAGAGGCATTCCCATCCTTGAAGACATACGGGATCGATGCTGCGGGGGGTTCTTATCAAAGGGTTGCTTCAGATGCCGATTTATCTCATGCAGCTCATCCCACTGCTCAAAGCCCTTAATAGACCAGATAGCCCCGCCCTACCGATCTGTAAGTATCTCACTGGCCCAGCCCCTCTACCACTCTTTGGCGAAATCCCACCAGTACATTCATCGATGCCACCCTACCCACCTCAAGAAGCAGCAAGCCCTCGGAGTTGAAGGTCGATTCGAAACCACTGTCCTTTCTGGGGTTTAAAATGCAGAAACAATAAAGGTGCCCATAGGACTTCACTGATCACAGCACTGGAACACCCATCTCGCCGGAAACAGCAACCACTGGCACTTAACCCTGCCATACTGCTGCTCAGGTCAAGACGAGAAACTCGCCCAGTGCCACCAAAAATATCTACTGCCGCAGGGAAGAACCACCAACGACCGGCGCTCGACCCTTCTCTCCCGCTGCTCAGGTCAGGACAAGAAACTCTCCCAGTGCCACCAAAAATATCTACTGGCGCGGGGAAGAACCACCAACCACCGGCGCTCAACCCTTCTCTCCTGCTGCTCAGGTCAAGACGAGAAACTCTCCCAGTGCCACCGAGAATATCTACTGGTGCAGGGAAGAACCACCACCGACGCTTCACCCTGCTGGACATGCAGAGCAGCAACTAACAAACAACCTTGGGGCCCGGGCTAACGAAGCGAGGGATTCAATGTTGGCTCACCTCTGCTTCTACATCCCGTCACGAGCACTCCATGACCACCTTCCCATTTTCGACTCCCTATTTCACCCTTTCCTACCTTCCTCACTTCCCCATGCTCCACTAGCCCTCGAAGTTTAATGTCGAATGGAACCCACAGTCCTTTCTGGGCTTAAATTAGAGCAGCAGCCCAAGTTACAGCAGCTCCAGATGAAAGTAGAATAACTACTAAATAGCCTCGGGCTAATGAAGCGAAGGATAGAATGTTCGCTTGCCTCTGCTGCTGCTGCACCCCGTCACGACCACTCCGTGAACACCTTCCCATTTTTGACTCACCCTTTCCTATCTTCCTCACTCCTCATCGCTCCGTTTCCCCCCCCCCCCCTCCACCCCCATCTCCAGTTATTTGCCTTTCCCAAAAGAGCTCAAGTGCTACATCACATATAGCACACCATTAGAGGCCTGCACAGGCAAGACATGCCAACTACCATTCGGTCAAGAGACAGACGGAAGACAGTTATTTGCAGACTCTCAGCAGATTTCGCACCCATTTTTCAATGCCAGCACACACAAGCTTGCTCATGTCAACTCAGAATCAGACTCGAGTATCTGTTGCAGCTTCACGAAAGGGCATCAGTGCACAATGATGTGTCATGTGCACTGGAAGGCATAGGAGGGTGGTCATGCGCACAGCTAACTTGAAGTGGCATCCAATCCCCTCCAACGCCTCCCCCAACCTCTTCTTTAACCGAATAACAAACAGAAAAAACTTTCCACCCCTTCCCCCCCGCCCCTTCCTCCCCCACATCGCATGAGGGTGATTTCCCAGAGGGCTGCGGACATCAAGCTCTCTTTCCCTCCCCCTCCCCCTCCCTCCCCCTCTTGCAAACACACCCTATCCGCGTAATTCTTCGCGCACCATATCATCAGGCGACA